TCTGAGATTCTTTCTTCTGTTTGGTTTACCCTGCTCTTGAGACTTTCCACTGTATTTTGTAGTTCCCTGAATTGATTCTGCATTTCTAGGAGTTCAGTTAAACTTTTCTTCATTGTGTCTGTTTCTTTAGTGAACTTTTTTTGCAGATCCTGGAGGCTTTTTGTGATTTCTTTGTGTTGTTTATTGAGTTATTGTTGCAGGTCGGTGAGTGTTCTTATGATCCACATACGAAATTCCTCTTCTGTCATTTTGGTTGCCTGATTTTGGTTGGTGTCCGTTTCTAGGGGGCTGGTGCTCCTCTTTGGGGATGTGTTTTCCATTTGGTTCTTCATATTTCCTGAGTTTCTTCGCTGATTTCTCCCTATGTCAGTCAATTGTTGTTTCTTTTCTTTAGGTTTTTGTTTGGGTATTCACATGCCTTGTTTAGTTTCTGAGCTGGTAGGTGGTGTCTGTAGGTGAGATTTGACCACTCCCTGTATAATGAATCAGTAGGTGTCGTGAAAAGGGTGTGCAGGATGTCCTCCCTGTCAGTAGGTGGCGCTTTCTTGGAGGAACAGGCTACGCTGTTGTTTTTGTGTCCTGTTATCAGCTGTTGTTCCTGTAGAGAGAACTCTAGTGCCTCAGGTGGTCGGTGGGGCCCTGGGACTTACAGGTGTGTCCTCCTCTCCCCTTCAGTGAGGGCTGGTCTAGGAGAGAGTCTGGGCAGAGCTGGGTGGGGTAAGCCTGCCCTCAGGTACCACCAATGTCATTAGCAGGGGTCAAAGTTCTGTTTTCTGCTTCCAGGCAACGCTGACAGGGAGGGGCTGGAGTGGCCCGGCTCAGTCAGAGAGTCTGCATGTGGGGTGGGGCTGTCTGAGACCTGCAGTCTGGAGCAGGCCTTGCTTCTTTCCACCCTCCCAACTCCACAGCTCCTCCTGGGCCTCTGCCAGCAGGCCAGACCACACACCACCAGGCCTCCCCTGGCTGTGCTGCCAGCGGGGAAGTTCCCTGTGCAGGAACGCCACCTGGGCCGGGCACAAGGCCTCCCTTTGGGGGAAGGGTTGCCCTCTAGGATGCTGATCTGCCCCTGAAGGCACACACAGCTCAGTAGGCTGTTCACAAATATCCCTTCTGTGCCTCAGGCAATGCGAGGCCTCAGTGCACAGGATCTGGTCTGCAGGTCTGACCTCTGGGTCTCAGAGTTCAAACTATATCCCCACCAGGGAGAGCAGTGCCAGTCCCAATTCAACCACAGGGAGCCCACGCTGGGTCTATGTCTCTCAAACTCAGGGTCTGCCCCGTTCTCCTGGGATCACCGTGCCAGCAGCACCTGGGAGGGCTGGCGGGTAGGGAGCTCACAGTCTGAATTCCCCTTAGTCAGCTGTAGGGCCCCAAAAGGGAAGGTCCTGTTCCCAGTAGGTGCCTCCAGCTGGTGGCTGTATTGTCTCTCTGTCTCTCTGGGCAGCCGCGGGTAGGGTCGGGGGAGGTGAGGAGGAGGCAATATGGCGTCTGCCGTGTGGCTCGGGTCTGTGCACACGGAGGTGCCCCGAGGGAGTTGGGAGCCTGGTGCCGCATCTGCTACTGGCTTACTGCTCACTGGCAGCGGCCTTCGCTGGGCTGGTGTCCGCAGGTCTCTCCACTCTCTTGGAAGCCCACCAGCAGTCCAGGATGCAGGGGAGGGGAAACAGCTGATCCACCTACACTTCCCGCTGGTCTCCGGGCTGCTCCAGGGGTCCCAGCTTCCAGTTCTCCTTCGTGACCTCCTCCTGTGGAGTTTCCCGTGGTCTCAGGTACTCCTCCTTCTGACCCTCATCTGATGTAGGCTCGTCTTCTTGCTTCTTTCTTCTAATTTCTGCTAGAATCTGTCTTTTCTGCAGAGACACTCTGTCTGGCGGTGTTTCTCATCTGCCATCTTCTCCGGTTCCTCCTGTATGGTCATTTAAACAATATTAATTCTTCTGATTTATGAGCATGGATGTCTTTCCATTTGTTCCATTTGTTTGTATGCTTGACCTTTGTTAACCAAGAGAAGTACTTGGATGTACCAGGATAGTATAGATGCCGGTTGGGTGGACCCAATCTTAGGCCTCTGTGAGGTATGCCAATGGTGGTGGACTGGGCTAAGCAGTCACCAGACCCCAGGATGGCATGCTTGGGCCTTGCAGGGGTGAGGGGCCAGCCAGGCTTGGCATACCTGTCCTCAGGCCCCCCAGTGGTGTGTGCAGGTGCTGGCTGTGGTAGGCAGGGGCAGGGTGATCCCCAGGCACAAGGCTTAGATGAGGACAGCAGTGGCTGTACTACAGCCTTTTTACTGGGGAGCTCAGAGTTGCTATCAGTGGTAACAGTTATATGGAGTCACCTGGGGACTGCTCACTTTGCTTGCACTTTGGCCCTGTGGTGTGGTGAGGCAACAGCAGCCTGAAGTAGCAGTGGCTGAGGGCGGGGGAGTTTATCTTCAGGGTGCATGAAAATGTGCAGCTGTTTCCCTGCTGAGAGCAATAGAGTTGTTGCCAATGGCTTGCACTTTAGCCCTGAAAGCAGCAGCCAACCACAGCAGTAGCTGCAGGGAGAGAATATCACTGGGGCTCCAGGGATGTAGAGATACAGGGGCTGTTTGGCCTCTGGGTGGGATACAGTCTGATGGGGGTTGGGCTCTCAATATGTCACTTTGTTATAGCTGCTTTGGGCTGGGGGAGGTGGGACACAGCATAAACTCCTTTTCTGAAACAATGCCTTTGTGTGGTCTCCATGCAGTTCCCTATGTTAGTCTTGGGCATAAGGGAAGGGGCTATCTTCGGCCTAGCATTGCATAAGTCTGTAGTGGGAATGTGGACAGCTGGAGGTCACTTGCTTTCCCTTTGCCCCCATTAGGGAGCCTCTCCAGGCTCCCAGCCTGATTGCCTTGATTCCCTCTCTTTCCTTGCTTTAGGTATTTCCTGTCACTTCTCTGTTGAATTCTAGTGTTCTCTCTTAGATGATCTATTTGAAGTGTGATCATGTATTTGCTACTTTGGTTCTTCTTTGTGGAGAAGGTGAGTACTAGATGCCTCTAGTCAGCCATCTTGAAGCCCCTTCCCTTCTATTCTATTAATTTGTAGTTATTTCCAAAGTCCTCAAAAGTGAAACCACACACCTAAGGAGTATACCCTTTATGGATGCAACAATTTTGAGCCTTAAATTCAAACTTTAATACTACATTTTACTAAAGTTAATGGACAGATCAGACTCCTAGGCAAGGGAGTTAAAATGTCACTAAATCATTCTTTTTTTTTATTTCATCATATTATGAGGGTACAAATATTTTTACATATATTGCCCTTGCCACCCCTCCTTCCACCTCCCCCCGTCAGAGATTCTAGCGGGTCCATCCTCCAGGTGGTGCACATTGCACTCATTACAGTACACCCATCTCCTCCTCCCCCTCCCACCCGTCCGGACACCCGCTGTTTCTTTCTTTCTTTTTTTTTTTTTTTAACATTTTGGTTACATTTTATATCTTTGCCTCTCCCTCTGATGGTGGGAAGATTCTTGGGAGAGTTTGACATATATTGCCCTGGAGAGTGGGAGCATTAGAAACAAAGTCTTGTCTCTCCTCTGAAGGGTTCTGAAGCAGACTTTACTTGCAGGGCAAGGAAGAAGTGCAAGTTGTTGCACTTCTTGCATGGTTATCTTATGCCAGAAGTGATTTTGCCCTCTAGGGGACATTTTTCAAAGTCTGGAAACATTTTTATTTGTCATAACTGAGGGGATACTACTGGCATCTAGTGGATATAGTCCAGAATGCTGTTAAACACCCTATATATAGTACACAGGAAAGCCCTCTCCCACACACATTTACACAACAAAGAAATTATCTGGTCCAAAATGTCAACAGTGCTGAAGTTGAGAAATGCTGACTTAGACCATGGAGACAAAGTAGAAGGTTCTAAGTTTGGGTCATCTTGAAAGATTTCCACCCAAAATGGCTGCTGGCCAGAAAAAGGAAATCCCAGAAGTGTACCACTTAGAACAAGAGCTTGAGGAATGATTGTAAGAGCTCAGCTGGAGAGAGCCAAAGAATGGTGTGAGAGGTTCCTGTTGGGGGGACTCTAAAATCCTCCAGCAGTATATCCCATGGATATCTGCCATCCCAGAGAGCATTCAAGAGGGAAAAGAGGATTCAAAGTAACACTGGCTGAATGAAGGGGTGGGGGAAGGCTTTCCCTCTAATTTCCTCCCCTTTCAACTTCTAAGCCAAAAGGAGCTTGAATCAGGTTGGGGCTCAGGTGGTATGGGAGCGGAGGTGGAAAATACAGGTGAAGAGAGAGAGTAAAAGAACTAGACCAAGCAACTTTTGGAAATACTTCCCTCATTCAACTCCCATAGCAGCAAAAAAAAAACTAAAATTAATATGTCAGTGGATTACCATGTCACATGTGGGTTTTACTTCCCTTTTCCAAGGGGAGAAAATAATGATAATATTCTCCAAAGGAAATTTTCAATACCAAGACTGACAGCAGCCTTACATTCCCTTATCCTCTAAGATTAGATAATCATTCCAATTTTTTAATATATACCTCTGTATTCTTGCTCCTAGGCTGGATGCCATCTCTGCTTTTCCTTTACATCAAAGCCCTACTCATCCTTTAAAACTTAAATCAAATATCTTCTTCTCAAAAAGCTCTCCAGATCCCATTTTTTCTCTAGAATTTCAATAGCCTTTTTGAAATTACATTTCTTAGGATATAAATCATTTCTTACTTTATATAGAACTTGTATATAGATATCTTCCACCACACACAAAGTATAATCTGGTTAAATGATGCTTGTATGTCTAATTTATCCTAGGATTTCCTACTATGCACATCTGGTACATACCAGACACTCGAAAAATATATTTAATTAATGATTGACCATGAAAAATATAATATATTGAAACATTTTAAAAGTTAAACAATATTCTACGGAAAATGCATTTAGATTATAGATTTCAATTATAGGGCCTTCAAATAATAAAACTTCATCTAATTTTATTTCTAAAGGGAGCTCCCAGCAGAAACAAAACTTTTTGCTCATGTGATTTCCATGTGGAAAGAAGTAATGTCAAAAATACAAAACAAACTGAATGCTTTGCAAATAACCACCTCTGCAGGAGTCCTGGAAATTTTGCAAAAGTGCAATATACATCTTGAAAATATAAAGAAAAGTCTTGAGGTAAAACTACAGCAATACTATAGTGAGAATTATTTAACTTTATAAAAGTAAAGTAAAAGTAATGTAATCTACAGAAACTAATTTCAATTCAGATTTTCTTCTCTCTTCCAGTTGCCAATAATTTTTCAAACTCTCCCTATCTAGAGTGTTAATGAAAATATTATCAAAAGAAAAAGTGGTTGGACTAATCTAAATGACTGCTGACAAAGTACCAAACTTTTGAGTGCCCAAGTTTCCTTATCATTAAGTCAAAAATAACCCTACCTTGAGGGGCTTTGTGCTAAATGAGATGATGCATTTAAAGCACAAGAGCTGGCACAAAGAAAGTCCTTAATAAAGGTTAATTATTTTTATTAGCACTATTATTAAGTTGATAAATTCATCAAAAGTTGAACTAGAATATTTTGATGAGTTCATAAATTAAATTAGTTCATATATTTATATATTGCCAGAACATTAAATTGTCAGCTAGACATACATATCCTTTAATACTGTATCTTAATATTTGCAATTCCTGGTGTACATATTCACTTCAATTCATAAATCAAGATTTTTATTCAGGCATTCATCACTTTTCCTTGCTCAACATGAGCCACAGTGATTGTGATGATTCCTCTAAAATGTCTGTAGGCAGTCTGAGCCAACAAAAAGTACACTGCCCAGGGAGGGCCCCTTCTATTCAAATCCATGCTTTGGAGCAGGAATAAGGGGCCATGCCCAGAGTGATTCTGGTTCATAATAGCCAGGCCATCATTCAGGTAAGCCTTCCAATTATTTCTGGCACATCTTTGGACTATTAATGAGGACCATTACAGACCAGTAGTCTTCCATTTATTAATGTATCGAACACCTACTTGAGTACCAGGCATGGCTGTTATGTGCTGGAACTACAAAAATAAATGACATATTCTCTACTATTACATAACTCAAAATCTATTTTAGGAAACAAAAAAAGTAAGGAGATATTACAATGTGATGTATGCTACAATAGATTGGATGGTGTGGCTGTATGAAAGAGAAGAAATTCCCAGAGCCTGGGGGAAGTGATAACTCACTTGGGTCTTGAGTGTAGATGTTATCTAGGTAAAAGAGTCTGAGTGGAGGTGGGTAAGTGAGTGGGAAAAGCATCCTAGGCAAAGGTAAAAAGAACAAAGACGTGGAGCCATTAGCAAGTATGGCACATTCTGCATTTGTGAGCAGGACAATACAGAGGTTGCAACAATAGGTTGCAAATGGGAAAGTGGTGAGAGATGAGATTCTCCAGGGAGGAAGCGGGCAGAGGATAAAGAGCTTTGAATATGACAATGGGTTTTGACTTTAATGAGTAGCCACTGAAGGATTTTATGCAGGAAAATGAAATACTTTAATTCAGAAATATCTCTCTGGAAAGAAGCATAGATTGTGGATTGGGGACAGTGAGAATAGATATTTAAAAACCACTAGAAATATTGGGGGCTAACATATAAGACCATGGTAAGGATGAAAGAAGGAAGATGGAGCCAGGAGCATCAGATAGGTGAGTAGAGGATAAAAGAAAGAAGTCCTGGATTGTCCCTAGGTTTCTGGCTTGGCCAAAGAAATGGAAGATAATCACACACAGAGATAGGAGCTAGAAGATGAGGAGGCTTGTGTGGAAACAAGGAAGTTTGGTTCATGTTGAAAATCTAGTATTTATGCGACCTTAAAGCTAACATCTTCAAGTAGCAATTGGTTATATAGATCTGGGACAGAGAGAAGTGATCTGAGCTGAAGAGCAAGTAGGTATGTAACAGATAGCTCAGGAAGAGCATGATGAGTTGTAAGAGTGATGAAGACAGAACTCAAGAGATGTCAACATTAAGGTGTAGGGACAAAACGGACTTTTGAGGGAAAATGATAAGTGGCTGAGGGATGAAAGAGAGTGAAATTCCAGAAGTCAAAACAAAGGGCTTTGTGGGGGGAGGAGGAGCAAGGGCAATATATGTAACCTTAACATTTGTACCCCCATAATAATATACTGGAAAAATAAATAAATAAATAAAATAAAAACAAAGGACTTTGGGTTTATTTTGAAACCTATAACATTGCTGTATTCATTTATTACTTTTAGTAGTTCTCATTTTTTATATTCCTAAGGATTTTTCATCATATTATCACAAAGATTGATTTATTTCTTTTCTAAAAAAAAAAAAAAAAACCAAAGGGCAGAGTCAACAGAGTTAAATACTATGGAAATTTTATGTAACATGAAGACTAAAAAGCTGCTGGTAAATTTGGTAACAGCGGGGGCCTGATGGCAGAGCATGAGATGACTGAGAGATGAGTAAATAAAGATTTTTGAGTTTATAGACTATCTTTTTAGGAACTTTCATGGAGAGAAGATGGGCAAGTAGACAGCAGCTAAAGGAGAAAAAGAACTTCTTATATTTTTTAATGAGAGCAATTTAAGGGAGAGGCCTGTTGTAAGGGAGAGATTGAAGGTATAGGAGAGTCATAAATAAATCAAGGGTATCTTAGCCTGGCATAAGTGAGTGTGTCTTTCTTCTGCTGAAAAGAAGGAATGACTTAAGACTGTTGTTAATCCCTCTAAGTTGTGGGGAGGGATGGAAAATGTAGAAATTCTCTGCACAGTAGAATGTGAGGTCATCTGTGAAATGATATCTTATTCTCTAAGGTAATAACTTCACCTATAGGAAATAAAAGCAGAAAGTTCAAAGCATTGGAAAGCAATGCTGATAATACCCAAATACAGTGCTTTATTAATGGTCAATAATAAAATAGAGTATGTGTGTAAAGGGTGGGGGATTTTCATTTATTTTTGTTTTCATTTTAGTTTTGCTTTATTAAAAAATTTTAGCTTTTGAAGTATAACTTTCATTAAGCATGGAAATTTATTTTGACTGATACTTCTGTGTATACTATAACTTTCTATTGTGGCTTTTGTTTGTAAATGTAGATGTAGGCCCAAATGAGGATGTAATTCATATCATGATTAAACATATATTCTGAATTGCATTTCTTTTGGTTCTGGACAGGAGTACCTTGAAATTAAAAGAGTTATTTTCCCAAGATTTTACTTTCTTAGCAATGCTGAACTTCTTGATATTCTAGCCGATAGCAGGAATCCTGAGGCTGTACAGGTAATAACGTTATTCTCTGTTCAGCAGTATTATCCCCTGACCAGGTCAGGATTTAATAATGTCACTTACATTTGTTTCTGGTTCACAGCCTCATCTTGTGAAATGTTTTGAAAATATAAAACAATTATTGATATTGAAACAAGAAATTGGCCCTCCTGCTGTAAAAATGCTCATATCTGCTGAAGGAGAATGTCTTGTGCTGCCAAAGTATGATAAATGTTACAACATAAATGTTTACATGTGTATAACCTCATTATTTAAAACCTCTCCTTTGAAATTTCTGATATTTCATAAAAGTTTTCTAAGCAAACTGTTTCTTCAAAGATGATATCCTTATGCAAATGCACTTTTGCCCTTCAGTACATAATCTTGTCATCTTTGCTTTAATTAAAAGTAAAGTAAATAATCTTCAGACTCCTGGATGCATTCTAATTTATTGTGTAAATTTATGGTTTTGATGTCAGAATTTCCTAAAGCAAGGTAATATGTTTTCTACATTGTTTTCCAAATTAAGATCTAGAAAAACTTAAAGACGGCATTAGATATGAATATCATAATGGCCCATGAATATTATAAAAGTATATAGAAAACTTAGGCTACAGGCTTATCAAAGGACTGAAATATAAATTAAAATAATTCTTCATAATATTATTTTCAAAACAAATTTTAGGAAAATTCGTGTAAGAAGTGCTGTAGAACAGTGGCTGGTAAATGTAGAAAAAAGCATGTTTGATGTGCTAAAAAAGTAAGTACAATTTTCAAATCCTAAAATTATATAATATACATATATATGTGTGTACATTTTTAAAACTTGATTATCTACTAATCTAAGTGGGGAATATCTAGAAGAGAATATGAAGTAAAGTCCCTTATGAAATGTGTTTTGATAGAGCATGATGGCACATGACTAAATGGAAGGCAGTCATTTTTACAGTGTAAATTTAGTTTGAGAGTATAGTCATGAACAATATTCAGATAGTTCTTGTGTAGATTGAGATTCATGTGTTTCTGAAAACTGGCCAGGATATGAACTACCTCTGCCTACTGTCAAAAGATCTAGCACTTAATAGGCCTCCAGTTTTAGCCCACCTTAGTACTTTGCATTTCTGTTCTACTTTTACTTCCTGGAATTATTTGGTTTAGTCTTTTAATGTTCTTTTTTTTTTTTTTTTTTTTTTTTTT